TACATCATCTTGCTCACGCCAAGTCCAGAAAACACTGCCACGGATGCCATGCATTAGAACGAGGTCAGCTATTGGCTCTTCGTCTGAATGGTACAGCTCATAAACGTCAGTTTTCAATCGTCTCCTTGTGCTGTCAAAAACACTCAAGCCGTTATTGCAGATCTGTAATGAAGAAATGGCCGCACAGTGAATGTGCAATTCCACAATTTGAACTTTTCGCACTGCTCTCGGCTCGGCTTGCAGCAGCAGCAGCAGTAACAACAGTGCGCCAGTCCAGAAACAGTCACATCTGTAAGCAGTGCAGTGCGAATTCTAAATTTTTGATAACGCTTATTGCGGGGAAAAATACAATACTCCGTAAAAGGCTGGCAAGCGCCAAATAAAAATGTCTCTTCCAATGTGACGCGTGCAAAAGAGTTGTCTGGCAACAAGTAAAACTGAGAGATGCGCGTTTGCTGCGATAACTGTGCAGAATGAGAATGATGCATCGCTTACCTTCTCAGCCATCAGCGTTTCCTCGAAGGAATCAGAAGCAACCATTGATGCCAGTAATGGAAGCCATTCTGCAATGCAGAAGTTAAAAACCGCCAAAAAAAAAATTTTTGCATTGGGAATTTCGATGTAACAAAAAAAAAAAAAAACAAGCGAAGAATGGTGAAAAGCAAGCTACCAGAGTGTGCCAGTGCCGCAGCACAGTACTCTCCCTGCATTGCAATATTCGCTAATATCTTCAGCGTATTCAGACAAATGCTATCGTTATTTTCACGGTAGTAGAGGAAGAGTTGCATCAGTAGTGTAAGAATGCCTTGGTCGATCAGCTCCTTGCCAAATCCGGTCTAAAGTAGTATGCTTAATTAAGCAATTTCTTTATTGCAATACAATAGTAATGTCCCAGTTCAACCAACCGAGACCTTCAAATCAGCGCCAGGAGCGGCGGAGAATCATGCATGCAAGAGAAACGACAGATGACTAAGCCCGGCAGAACTTTAACTATTCCTGCACC